GCTAGTTGGTGATCGATGTTACAGGCCACAGTGGCACTTTCTACTACAGAGGCCGAGTACATGGCCATGACGGAGGGAGTGAAGGAAACATTGTGGCTGTGGGATCTTCTAGACGATTTGGGGATTGAGCATGAGAGCGTGAACTTGTGGTGCGATAGTCAAAGTGCGATTCACTTGGCGAAGAATCAAGTTCACCATGCCCGTACCAAACATATCGACGTTAGATATCATTTTGTGTGGGATGTCATAGAGGAAGGTGATATTTCTCTCATGAAGGTGCACACAAATGAGAATCTCACAGACATGTTAACCAAGGTGGTGACAGTCAGCAAGTTCCAACATTGCTTGGACTTGCTTCATATCTGCCCGTGTTAATCCGTCCAAGAGGGTATGACCCTTCGGAGTGGTGATGAGGGTGTGGTGGAGACTATGCTGGTGAATAATTGCAGAACTCTCTGGAGATGCTCGTGGGGTTCTTCTGGTGATCGTCCAAAATTTAAGGTTTATCAAATGATGAACGAGGTGAAGAATTGTGAGTAAGAAAACTAAGATAAAGGGCAAATCTCTGTGAGATTTTCTTTTACAGTGTTGGCTATTTTCCTTTTATAAAAAGGGACGAATCTTGAAAATTAGAGACGCTAGAAAAACTTGCTCTCCTAATTTCAAAAATCTTGGGTTAGGGTTAGGGTTAGGCTAAGGGTCAGGGTTGGGGTTTAGGGTCAGGGTTAGGGTTAGGATTTATGTTTGGGTTTGGGGTTGGGGTTTAAGGTCAGGGTTACAGTTAGGGTTTAGATGGGTTTGGTTAGGGTTAGGGCCTGGGTCAGGGTCGGTTGGGGAGATTAGGGTCAGGATTAGGGTTAGGGGTTAGGGTTAGGATGGGTTTAGGGTTAGGGTAAGGGTTAGGTTAGGGGTTATCGTTTAGGATTAGGGTTTGGGGTCAGGGTTTAGGGTTTAGGTTATGATCCATTAGTGATCTAGATGTTTAGAAGATTTCAATATGTATGTCATGTTCTTGGCTTTGCCATGTTCTTGGGTGTGATCACAGACTAGGTTATAAAAAAATTAAAAAAAAAGATTCATGGTCTAGGGATCTGCTTTAAAGTATGAAGCGTTTCTCCAAGAGATTATTATAGGTTACACTGTTATAACTAATGATAAACATTTTTTGCATCCTGTAATATGTAAATTTACTCAACAAAAAGAACTTGCGAGGTTTAAATATTGTTTGTATTATATGCTAAGTGACCGTCATCAACAACAAATTTTCATAATTACATGCAACCATTCAAAATAAAGCTGAGTGTGATAATCATCAAAAACAAGCTCATGTATCACACCGCCATTCAATTGAAAGCTTCATCTTGGAAATGGCCGGCCAGGGGCGCCGCTGAGGCGGAACTTCCGGTTCCGTAGAACAGGGCCCCCCACTTGGGGGGGCCCCTAATCGCCAACCGCCGCTCCGTCAAAGGCGGCGCCTTTCTCACCTCCTCCATCCTGAAGCGTCTTGAGACCATCATCGCCGTAGGACAGGCTCACTTGCTTTATCTCTCCCTCCCCCGCCCATTCCTAGGGTTTCAATTCCACCCCGAAATCCCTAATTTTTTTCATTCAATCTCATCCCTGAGCCCTAGAATCTCCTGCTGCAACCTCTCAAGAGGGGAATCGATCAGGCCGCGGTTGAAGAAGAAGGACAACATGTGGAGCATTGACAACGAGCTTGCTGAGAGTGAGAGGGAGAAGGAGAAGGAGAAGGAGAGGAAGAGGTCACCGTCTTCGTTTGGAAGGAGGAGGAAGAGGGGGAAGGCTGGGGGGAGGAAGGGGAAGAATGAGCTGGTGTTGATCTCGGCCGCAATGCTAATGGAGATCGAGGCTGTGTTGCAGACTCAGGTGAATTCTGTTTCCATTTCTTGTGGCGCTTTCTTGAACTGTAATTTTGCATTTTGAACTGTAATTATCAGCTCATTCATTTACTGCCCGGTAGAAAAAAAGATTGTTTATGCTATGTTTGGTTTATTTACTTTCATGATTTAAATGGAAATAGAATATATAACAAGGCTTATTTCAACTATAATACTCCAATGATGTAGCCCCTTCTTTTTAACTTCTAGCTTTGATACTCTGAAGTTCTGCATTGTAAATTGGTACCCCAATGGTTTTGAACTGATTAATTCGACAATTTGGTACCCCCAAAATTCCTAGCTTTAGTCCTCTCTGTCTCCAACCTTTAAAAAAAACATGAAACTTCAAAACCGTGTAGTAATTCTTAATTTTATTCTTGATTGATTTTTCAATGCCAAATCAAGAACAAATAATAGGTTCTTTGATGGGTTGCAATGTGAGGAGAGGAAGAAGATGAACACGCAGAGGAATAATTGGGAGTTGTGTTATTTTACACAAAGATCCAGTTACTTTTGAAATTTGAATAAAGAGTATAAAACTCCTCATTTTTGTGTGTAAAAGTTGTTAATTTCTATACAAATCCAACTAATCATTTTCGATGAGTGGTTTATATGTGATCACTTTGTTAATGTACATGGTTAATGGTGCTAATTTTGGTTATTCCTTCTCATTCCATTCATGATCCAAGCCTCCTCCTCCCTTTCCTCCACCACCTTCCGCCTTCACCGTCCATCACCTCCCTATCCTCCTCCCCTCCGCCTTCACTGTCCATCGCCTCCCTGTCCTCCTCCCCTCCGCCTCAGCTCCTTCGCCTCCCCTCAGACCCGCGCCTATCTTGCATAGAACCATTGTTATGTCTTAGTGTTTATTTTAATTCTAGATATAAAATTTTCTTTCCATGGTTAGTACTACGTATAAAAACAATTATTAATTTCTTCTAAAGATTGATTAAGAGGCCCCGATTGAAATTTAGAACCGGGCCCCCAAATTGTCAGCCACGCCTCTGGACACTCGAAGAAGATAGGTATGAACTCGACTTTGATCTTTCTTGGTCCTTTATTTTTAGGGTAGATTTCCATAAACTCCGGATAAATTTGGGCTTCTGACTCCTAACACCGAAAGAGTTTTAAACTCTTGGCTAAACCCCTAATAATTAGTTTGGAAATTCTAGAAAATCCCTAAAACATTTTGAATGTTTTTCACTTAGACCCCATATAACGACACAGCAGGCCTGTATTTTGCGTTCCCAAACAGCAAATATCACACGAACATCATAAAATTGGGGTTTAAATGAAAAACGTCAAAATGTGGCAGGGGTTTCCCCAAATTCCTGAACTTATTAGCAGTTTAGTGAGAATTTCATACTTTTTGGGGTTAAGTACCAAAGACACGAACTTATTGGGGGCTCAGTGGAATTTACCCTTATTTTTATATATTTTCAACCTTTTTTTTTCAGATTATATTGTAGAAAATCCACCCAGGGAAATAGCTAATGGATATTTACTGTAGATTGCTAATGCGGACGGTAAAGCAATACGGGCTAAGAAAATGGTCACAAATAGCTGAACTGTTTAAAGGGAGGAATGGAAAACAATGTAGAGAGAGAGAGGGCATAATCATCTAAGGGCCTAAGGCCAAACATCAAGGTACACCTACTTGTTAGGACAAATTTTCAAAACCAACCCTTTTCATGATTTAATTGCAAAAAACGACCTGTTTCTGTTTTATTTAGAGAAACCGACCTGGTTTTAGCACTGTCGCTGAAACCAGGTCGGTTTTTGAAAAAAACTTTACGATACTTCACGGGAGTTGAACTCCCGTGAAGTTTTTTCTCATAACAAAACTTCACGGGAGTTGAACTCCCGTGAAGTTTAGGAAAAAAAATTTCAAAATCCGACCCAGTTTCAACCAACTGGGTCGGTTTTTATAAATAAAACAAAAACGGGTTGTTTTTTGCAATTAAATCATGAAATGAGTCGGTTTTGAAAATTTGTCCCTACTTGTTATGTTGCACGGTTGCACCATTTCTCATAATTTTTCTTCCAAAGACAAGATAATACACTTCAAGACTAACTTCAGTTGGTAAGAAAAACAGTTCGTGTTTTTTTTGGCAGTTTCTTAACAATGTTAATATCCGTTAAAGAGTTGAATTGTGTGGCAAAATGGATCGTAATCTGTATTTATACTGTAAAAACCAAAACATCGTACAAAAATAGATATCTAGAAGTGATTTGAAGTGGCTCCGTTTTTCAGGATCATTGTTATCTCTTAACCAGGTTAAGACGGGACCACTCTCCCAATGATCACCCACGATGTCTCTATATCATGCTACATAAGAATGGAATAGAATCTAGGCTTAGTTAAATATTAGGTATGCTCCTTTTCGTAGTGTGGTCTTCTCCCTAGCTCTTCAATATAATGCCTACATAAGTTTCTAATTAATAGATCTCTATATGTTGTTATGTAGGGTTTTTAAGGGTTTTTGAGATATCAGTCCATTAAATCTGAGCTATTTTGATTTAGTCCCTCAACTTGCTTTAAGTTGTTGATTTTTAGTCCTTCAAGTCGATGGTTGTTAAATCTATAGGGGAATATTCCGTTATGTATAATTGTTGCATTTATGGGACTATTACGCCCTCACCAAATTAAAATTTATCAATGCGTAATTAAAATCTAATCAAATTAAAATTCATCATTGCATAATTAAACACTAATCAAGATTAAACCCTAACTCATCCCCAAATTTACTACAAACCCAAATCAGTAAACTCTAATCAAAACATGCAACGAGAGAGAGAATGTCGTTTATTGGGGCGAATTACACTGAGGGTATTTTGATAACTTACCATCTATAATTAATATTAACCCAACCATGGTTTAGATTTTTTAACATAAAACCTAACAAAAGGACTAATATCAACAACTTAAGACAATTTGAGGAACTAATATCAAAATACTCAGATTTAAGGGTCTAATATCAAAATCGCTCATATGTAAGGGACTAATATCTAAAAACCCCTTTTTTAAAAACGAAACTAAAACCTTGATCCAACTCCTAAGATGGAAATGAACTGCTAATTCCAACAGTTGGTCTAACATCATATGTAAATTTTTCCAGCTCAGGGAGCTTCAAAGGTTTCAAAGAAAATTAAAGAAAACTGCACACAAGGAAACCATAAAATCTGCCGAGACATTTTAACCAATCCCTTAACGAAGTGCATGAATGGCTAAACCCAAAATTTGGGTGCCTGCAAATCGAATGAAAAACTTGGAAGACCAAGTTGAAACTCTAGAACGCAAAAATGGTTAGCATCTAACCTTTTCTTTTTTCCTGAAACCGTTTTTATCAGGAAAAAAAACATATCGGAATGTCTCGACGAATAAAAGAAGCGTAGCCACAACCTTTCCTAAGGGAAATCACTAGAAACAAACATTGTCATCCCGAACATCATTCATGGCCCACGGTCTACACATCCATGAAAACTCTGTGATCACCATACAAGACAGAAAAGACTAACTGCATTTTGAGAGGATTGAGAAACAAATATACAAGATATAACACTTCAATTAAGTGAGTGTTCAGTTGATGCCAAACGAAGGCAATAAAAAACATTTATAAGTATAAAATATTAACCAAAGTTTCTTTGCTTACCTTTAAGTCTCTACCACAGTCACACCAGCAATAAGGCGAGCCAGTAGACTCAATATGAGAAGGAAAATCAAGGGAGATGACACCTCAATCAAGAAGCAGGAGATGATGAAACGATGATGTGTGGCGAGCTTGGAGCAGCCTTTTCTCAATACGGAACTCAGGTTGTGAAGAACCCTAAACCTATCTAATATAAGTGCAGAAGGTTGTCCCAGGTCCACAGTCTAACAGCGTGTTGAGAATGTCCAGTGAATCTTCCCTATAATTTTGGCGGTAGTATGATGCAGCTAAGAGACTTAAGAAGTGAGAAGCACGGGTGCAGAAAAACCATTTCTCTCAGTTTAGGAGCAGAAGGAGATCCCAAAAGAAGCCTGACGCAACTACGGCTTAGTAGAACCTCTCACCACAAAAGAAGAAAACACAAGTACACAGATTATGTAAGATGTTCCAATTATATCAAAAGCACAACAGATTCATAATTTAATGTCAAGCCACAAAGCATATATAACATATAGCTGGTAGATTTAAAGACAAAGGCAAAGTAGTGCAGGGGAAATAACCTCTCCAAGTACAAGCAAGCAGTAGAGTGTCCTCAGGGTCCCGAGCTCTAGTATGTACTCATAACCACTCTACTCTGAATAAGGCTACAGCTTTTACTGAGACACTTCATTGTTCAGCGGGTCTAACAAGCCAAAGCTCATGCAGTATTTATATATATAACAGAGAGACGCATCCATTCTCCTGAGCCTAAGTTTTATTCAGCTTCAGTACCTCCTGGAGTAAAAATTGGGTGAACAACTTCAACTATGAAGATTAACAAATAAGTATTGCAGTTTACAAATTAATGCATTGAAACTTGAAAGAGTCATACCTGTAGGCATAAGGTGAGTCACGTCGATAAGGAGGTGATTGGCTAACGTATCGACCACGGCGAGGAGGTGACAAGCTGCGGCGTCTTGAGGATCTTCTCCATCTTGGACTGTAGCTACTGCATAAAGGTCAGAACAAGATGAAAAATGATGAACACAAGACATGACAACGTAACAAATGTGGGTATATTACATTCAAAACTGCTCAAAGGTGTATGGACGCACTCACTGAAAATAGATGAAAGGATTAAAAGCTAAGTTGCATGGAAACGGGTACGGATACTAATATGGGTGCGGGTACATGTAGGGGACTGAAACGGGTGTATCTTCTCTTCGGAAAAGCGATCCTCATGGGAGCTTGAGGATAGGTGATTCTCATGATATCTTGAGAATAGTGGTGTGAAACGACACGACGGAGCACAGGATGGAGCGTGAAGCGAGTCGGAAGAACGAAGAATCAAAGATTTCAGTTCTTAGCCTGATGAGTCGACTGACGGGTTGATGAGTCGACTCAAGGTTGATGAGTCGACTGACGGGTTGAAGAGTCGACTCAAGAAAACGCCTCCAGATAGCAAAATGCTTCTACTGAGTCGACTCATGAAAATCATGAGTCGACTCATGCAGGTCAGCATAGTTTGTGCACATTTTGAGTCGACTATGAGTCGACTGGTGATCATGAGTCGACTCATCTCAGTCATGAGTCGACTCATCGAGGTTTCCTGGACAGACTTGGTTTCTGTTTTGAAGGAATCCTAACTGGGTTTGGTTTTGGTTATTTACCAGATTGCCACCACGTTGTAAACCCTATAAATAAGGATTGTTTAGGGTTCTAAACAGGGAGGTGAGAGACCAGATGTAGTCTTAAAGAGTTTTAGGTCTAAGTGAGATCCTAATCAAAAGGATTAGGGTTTAGATTGTGAGGATCTATGAGATCTTAGATCAGAGAGAGATTCTAATCATTGTATTAGGGTTTAGAGAGGATTGAGAGGTTGTTCTCGATTCTAGTGAGATTATGAGGGAGAGATTTGTAATAATTGATTCTTCATAATCTAGAGAAGGTATTTTCCTTCGCCATACTGAATTGTTCTTGTGTTTTAGTTATCTTTTTCTCAACCCACCTTTTGGTAATTCCGCGACCAAAAGGTGCTCGCACGGAGACTCGTATCAGGGATAGTGCAAATTTGTGAAATGTAAGATACGGAGAGACAGGTACACACATATCAAAATTAATAATTTACATGAGATCAATATTATTTTTCAATTCATGTGCTATTTGAAATTAATTTCCCATCATATTTTTAAGTTTCTTTTATTTTTTTTATCATGTTGATTATTATAAATTAGATACTGCTCGTTTTTTAACTAGACACTCAAACACCCTTTTAAATCATAGTTTTTAACTTGAATATAGTCAGTTTGAAACAACCGGGCCCATGTCTAACGAGTTTCAGAAAATGGATATGGAGTGTAGGATATAGGTCCAAGAAGTGTATGACAAGTATTTTAAATTAAAACATATATCATATAATTGAGTACATGTCAGGGTAAATGAATGCATACATCCAAGGAGTGTCCATGAAGTTTGGGTACTGATGACTGTCGGGTATGGGTACGGCTTCATTATTAAAGTACCCAGGTAATATAGATTAAAAGTTTTAAGGATTAATTACATCCCAGTACCCTAAGCTACAGTGTGATTACATTGGTGATCTTGCAGTCTGCGTATCTACATGGGTAGGTATAGTGTAATTACACAGGTGCTCTTGCAGTCCACGTATCTACATGGGTAACCATGGGATTGCTGATTGTATCTACACTTGTACTCTTAAGGAAATAAACAGATTTTAGGGACATCTGTGTAATTATAATCTGAGGGTTACACAAGTAGATACGCTCACTCCAAGATCACCTATGCAATTACTCCATACCTTAGGGTGCCTGATTGTAATTAATCCAAAGTTTTAATAAATAATAGCGACAGATTTTAAAAATGTACCTGCTACCATAGCTTGGGCTCCTACGATATCGAGGGCTCGGGCTTCGGCGTCTACTGCTGCCCAACCCTCCCCAGCCGATACGAGTTCGACATTCTCGAGCAAAGTGTCCAGGTTCACCACACTCATAACACCTCATATCCTCACTACCACCACGTGATCGTCCACCACGGCCACCACCAAGACCTTTGGAGTCGTGAGAGAGTTCAACTCTCCACCTTATCTTCCCTGATAAATAATAAAGAATATTGTAAGCATTATGAGTTCAAATATAGAATCTGCAAGTAGATAAAAAATGTGATGACTTTTGAGTGATGACTATTAGATCTTACCACGATATTAAATTTGAAGCAGGCTTTAGAACCCGAAGAAAATCTAAAACATTGTTGGCAAAGTTAAAATGGAACATTTACTAGATTATCTCATTCTAGCTGATTATGCTCGCGTAAGACAATATAAACTGTGTCTTACGGAATGTTTATGTTATCTGATTTTACTACTGGGCCTGTTTATGTATAATTGCCAGGCAACAAGGTAAAATATGGTACAGTCAGACAAGGGTCCTGGGCCAGAGGTTTTTCTCCGATGTTTAATATCACTGAGTAAAAGTTTATGAATAATAAAAGGTCGACAGCAGTTGTATGTGTTAAGACCATCAGCGTACTTCTAACTTCTAACATGGGATATGTATCCTTATATGTGCACACAGCTTATGATTCCATTTGATTGAACATACGAACCTGTTATGTCATATGTGGCAACTACTCTTTATCAAGAAGATATGAAAAAGGAGGAAAAAGGAGAAAAGAATTTTCAAAACAACTTAAAATCTTGGTCACAGACTCACAGCTAATCCATTCCTGTCAACTTAGTAGTGCCAGTTCCAGAGCAATTATAACATAACGAACCAAATACAGCTGAATGAATTGGTCTCAGCCAATATACATAACCTTACCACGATAGTGGCTAGTGAGGTACAAATGAATTGTCTTGCAAGCTTACTTTAAGAAATCAGTGCATATCACAAGCAAAATCTTTGGAAATATGATATACAAACAGAATTCTAAACCCATCAAAGAGCCATAGATTATAACACTACTAGTATAGAACCCAAGCAATCCATAAAACAGAAGCTTTCGCTCGGCCTAGAAAACGGGATCCTAACCATACTAAATTGCAAAGCCATTTCCATCTCGGTATAAGAGTTGTGATTGTACTTGAGCTGCATATTTAAGTTTGGATTGTAGAGGATTTCAAATAGCCTGAAACTTGAGCATTAACTAATATATATCTAACACAAATTTTTTGTCAAACAAGAAATTCTTAATCAATCCAAACATTCTTAATTTGACTAGAAAGTCAATTTAGACAATTACAGGAGCCTGACACAGGATGGAAAGCTAACAAACAGGAAAACATTGAAAAAAGAGAAAATGGAGGGGGGAAAATAGAATTAAGATTATTCGTATTACTCGTATTAACTCGTATTTAGGGAAACAATGATTTATCTATCATTCATCAAAGATATAACCTATTATATACAAAGAGGCTCAATACAAAAGTGGCCCAATAGAAGAGAAATACATATACACTATATTTGATACCCCCTCAAACTCACAGTGGATCATAGATTAAGTGTTTGTAGAGAAAGTATCGAAACTGAGAAATAGTTTGAGCCTTTGTAAACACATTGGCCACTTGATCTTTAGAAGGAATATACAGAAGGGCAATCCATGCGCCAGTATGCTCCATTCAAACCAGATGATAGTCCACCTTAATATGTTTGGTACGTTCATGAGTACTGGATTACTAGCAATGGCAATGGCACTCTGACTATCACAGTATAGAGGGATGCGTGAGGGAACAGACACTCATATCTTGTAATAAAACTAAGAAGCCACTTAAGCTCGACAATAGTATCTGCCATTGCCCGATAATCGGCCTCAATACTAGAGCAAATGTTTCATCATGTTACTAAAGTTTTTTGGTTCCTCATTGAATTTCAAGTTTAAAAATTTTATTGCTGCAGCTTCCTTCCCAAGTTGAGCAAATATATGCCAACCCTCCCTCCTTTCCTACCTCCCTTTGATGATGATCATGGATCATCGATCTTAGATTAGTAGAATTTATTAAAAACCTTTTTGTTTCGGAAATCTTTGGCATAATATTTATTTTAGGTGAGATTTATAAGGATTTACAGTTAGAATTTATGATCTTTTCTAATTTAATTTTGTTAGGATTTATTTTCTGATTAGGATTGAGAGTTATTCTATTACTAGTTTAATCTCTTTATAAATAATGTGAACCCTCTCTTTTAAAGGCAAACATTTATGGATGAGAATATTTGAGTTTAGAAAACCTCTCTTTGAAGAATGTGAGCTGTTAAGTGTGAAGCCAAATTTATCTTTATTCAGTAAGTTATTTGTTCAATCTCACCCAAAATCCTCATCTCAAATGAATCTGCTGCCTCCCATTCAAATGAAAAAGAGCTTCTGTATACTGTTCACGTGAACAGTACTCGATGTCATTATTCACGTGAACAGTATATGCCTCGGCTTCAATCTGTATTCTTCTCAATCAGTCCCTCCGATGATCTAACGCCCTCCAGTGATCTTTCATATCCTCTTTAATCTCGAATGATCAATGGCAAATCTTTTTGAGTCGGAGTCCTCTCATTCCAATCCTCATCACCCTTCCTTTCCACGAATATATTTTTTGCCACGGAACATACAATATCTATACTAATATATAATGAACATAGTGGGGTTGTGAAAAGTTTGGATAAGTGGTGGACATATGCTCCTTTCTAGCGTAATTGAAAGGGTAACTCATAATTTTGCATGAGAGATTTTTTTCCCTTTCTTTATTATTTCTAGAACACTCTAAATCATGAATGAGAAAGGGTTTTGAACTCACATAATTAAATATTCATCTTTTTCTTCTATAACATTCTAAACCATGAATGACAATAACTCACATAATTAAGAATTATTCATTTTCTTCTAGAACACTCTACATCATGAATGAGAATAGGATTTGAACTCACATAATTATATATTCATCATGTTATATATCATAAGAGATTAAAATATAAGATGATAATAAGAGATAAATATAAAATGATAAGTTTTTTTTCTAAAAAGAATATTAAATACATGTCCATGCAAAAATGTAGATATTCAAAAATTGGGCATGGATCACTTTAAAGCATACTTTTTTATATAGAGTAGAATTTTTAACAACTTCTTATAATTTTTTATATTTTTGGGGAAAAAGTATTCTCCATAATAATTTTTGCTTGATATTTAATAAATGAAAAAGCTACACTCTCATACTTGAATAAGATTACAATATTACATTTTTAGAAAACTATATCTTAAATACTTTATAGTACTTTTGAGCAAATATAAACTTCAGGATATAAAAGTTAGAAAACTAATGACACTCTTAGGTTGTTGAAATGCAGTTACCTCTATTTATATAAAACTTTGGAATTTGGATAAAATTTCTTAATGTCTATGGCATGTGCATCCGCACGTGCCGTAATGTTAGCACTTCAGTAAATAAATAAATAAATAACACTAGAGGAATCACACATGAATGACACAAGTGATATTGTTGAAATGGAAAGACACCAGCAATGTGTCAAACATAGATGACATCTATTGATAAAAAAACAATAACCTCCAGGCCCTAGCACCACTAATAGTCTGAACTCTAAACCATGGACATAAATTCAACTAAAAAAATTGAAATCTTGATGTATTTATTTTTTTTACAGCCAGAAATCAAATTCAGAATTTTAGTGGGAAAGAATTTTTCAGATATCAGGCAGCAAAAATTACTTAAAAGATACTCAGGAGAGGAGAATAATTAACATTGCGGGAGTAAGCAGCAAAAAGTACACAAAAATTGTATTACTCAGGTGAGAGTATGATCCCCATACCATCTAGTTCATGAATGGCATCCAACGCATCTCTCCGGTCATCGAATTCAACAAATGCATAACCAGGAGGTCTTCGGGCAACCCAAACACTGCATTCAAATTGCAGAATATGTAAAGCAGCAATACAACATTCCTAAAAGTCACAACAGGCTCAGTGATTAATGCATTTAAATAACTAGAGATTTTCCTAGGAAACTAATACAATACTGCAGAGTGCAGAGGTTAAAAAAAAGGCTTGTCATAAACTGATATCAAATGCGATACTTAACATCTATCTTTTCAAAATTCTGAAGTAAAGTCACACCTAGGGCATGTTCGGCAATCGGAAAGTAAATAGAAAGTGGAAAGTGAAGAGAAAGTATCTTTTCAAGAAAGTACCTTCTCTTCACTTTCTATTTGTAAAATTTTGCTTGGACGATAGAAAGTGGAAGTATAGAAAGTTGAGATGGCAGCTGAAGTGGCATCCACTATGTTGTTTTCGGTTTTAATAGAAAGTAGATAGTGAAAAGTAGACTTTTCAGAAAGTGAAATACTCAATTTCATAATATATTTTTAATTGAAGACTCAATGTACACCTAGATGCATTTCAAAGGGCAATCTTTATACTTGTTAAGCACTTAATTTCATATAATTGCACCTTGAAATTTATAATTATTTTATAACCAGCTCTTCACGTGAGTATATATATTGGCAAGAACGTCTTTCATATAATGGAGCACATCTTTTACGTCTCGTATATAAGATAGCACAGTGATCCTAATTTCAACTTTGGGACCATTACTCTACTTGTTGATTTAGAGAACAATGATTGAACATTAACACCTGAAAAGTTGCATTCATATGCTAATTAAAAAACTCAGCATCCAATACAAATTCATAATAAGTGGGTTTCAATAATATTTTGCACTGGTGTCTCGCGCAGATTTGCTCAGATGAAGAATTACAAAGCCGTGACAGATAAAAAACTAAAAATTAAAGAAAATGGTCTTGGAAAATAAAGAGGATAAAAAATAACTAAAAACTACTTTCTTTCTCCTCTTCCTTCACTTTGCATCCACTTTCCATTCACTTTCTGAATTTTTTTATGAATGTGAAAGAAGCTAAAAAGCTAACGTGGCACCATTAACTTTCCATTTACTTTCCACCAACTTTCCAAATAAGTGGAGCTACTTTCCAATTTCTAGCTCACTTTCCATTTAGTTTCCAGTTACCAAACACACCCTTATAGCAAAATGCAAGAATCCTATTATGTCGAAATGATTCTGTATATTTTGCTCCTGATGGCAGACAGGATCATGAACATGCTTGAGAAACAAGAAAAACCACAACATAGTCATAGGTATCACATGAGACACATGGTATACATGAATAGATTGTGGATAACAGGCTATGAAAAACAAAAATGCAGAAGGAACACAGATATACAACATATTTACTTGTCTTTATATACGTTATTCATCTGAAGATTTAATAATGTAGCCCACTGTTTTAAAAGAGAAATCACCCAAGAGGCTGAACCTACGCTGTTCTTCTCCTCTAAACTATCCAATTTGTTTGTTTGTCTGTTTGTTTTATTTTTATTCCTTTTCCTTAATTTTGTTTCCTGCCCAAAAGCACTCAGCTCCTTCTACAATTTTGTGCGCGCAAGTGTGAGATGTACATACATGTCAGTTCTACTATAGGGAATATTGACCATAATTGAACCTTTTCAAGCAAAGATGAACAACTTTAGCTCATAACTCTCACTTAATTTCATAGCTACAAACTACAACACCATTTGCATTAGATGAGAAACAAAAAGGTATTCTGCGATATAAAATCAGATATTAACCATCTGTGCTATAAAAATAATGAGAAGCTGAAGGTGATGACTAACAGTCTTGGTGCACTTGCACTAGCTTTAGCTTCTTTAAAGCCGAATCTCAACTTTATTAAAGAGCCCTATCACAAATGATCATCCTGATACCCATTACAGGTTTAGGTTGATTCTGCTATTTCAAGTTTACTAACTAATGGACTAGCAAACTTAAATCACAACTGGTGAAAACTTTGAAGGCTAGAGGTTGCTAGTTGAGTGTAAGGCAGCAAGATCATCTGCATCAGACACAACTCAAGAGTTCCCAACCACAATATTACATACAAATTATACTGATCAGCTGCTCAATCTTAACATACACAATCAAACAGGTGAATCAATGATAGAAGCAGAATGTCAGATCATGACGGGTTTCACACTGCTAAACAGTCTAAAAACTTGCAGAGACCTAAATAGTTAGCAACTTCATCTACAGCTTTCATTTACATTCTTCAGTTTTTTTTAACTAACACACCTTCACAAATCAATTATTATCAACATCCGAAGATATAGACAACTCTGCATTTTCTACCAAAAGTGAAACGGAAAAGGAATAAACAGAGAGAAAACAACATTACACTGAAAAAGATATCATGCAAGTTTTATACATCTGAGCCAATAGATTTACCTTCGGATTACACCGAAAACTCGAAATTCATCTTCAATATCCCTTTCAGTGACGCGTTCATCAAGGTTCCCAACATAAACCCGAGACATTTTACTTGCTACAAGACGATAAAATCTGTATCAACAAGAGGAAGAAGGAAAAAGAAGCAAGGCAATATAGCAAAGGTTAATTAGGAACTCTAATTTGTAGAGCTTCAAAAAATCGAGCCCTTCTTACAATCTATAAGCAAAAAGTATGGTGACGATAGAATAAAAGAATCAAGCAGCCCTGAGCTCAAGTACTTGCATACTGCAAACTTGACGCATAATTACGACATCAAAAGTCACTCAATTCATCCACAGTGACTTCTCAAATGTTGAACCAAGCAGATACTAGTTAACTTCATGCAGTTCTTAATAAATGATCTTGAAGCTTCAAAAAACTTATAAGTTAGACATCCAAATGGACAAACACTCAAATAATCAGATATTTTAGCCTACAGAAGAGCTAGCAAATCAGAAGGCGGCTAACAATATTCCTAAACACGAGCAAGAGACTTCCTTTTCATAAAAATGAAAAGCATATTTGAGACGTTACGTGTCTGCATTAGTGCATATGCATGAAATCGTGAAAATCAAATACATATCTGTCAATGTTACAGAATAACAAATCACATGGGTGTATAAGATAATGTTGTATGGACTTTTAAGGCTGTTTATAACGATCAAAGTATACAACCTCCTCTTACCCCCCCACCCCCCAAAAAAAAAATGTGAACAGACGAAGGAAATTAGGGAAATTAAAGTAAACTAAAGAGAAGCAAACAAAACTACTAGTTTCACCTCATTCTTTTTGTGGGTTCACCAGGGCAGCGTGTACAAAACAGCTCTTCGAAGACTATCATGCATTTTATCAGCGTAAAACAAAGACATGAACCCATATTACCAATTTTTTGCCTTCATATTTAACTCAATCTGCTAATATGAGCTGTTTCATTTTTTATTTTGGTCTTCTTATTTTGCCCGAACAACAAATAAAAGGCTTTTCTTCCCAAATTAAAGGTCTAGCCGTTCCCCAAATGTACATATATATATCCAGTTAAAGCAACAAATAAAATAGCTGAAGAGATGAAGAAGGGGAAGAAAAGCACCGCCAACAGCTACTACGCAATCCATAAACGGGTACCAAAAGTATAAATCAAGCACCGAGAAAGATAATTCAAAATCCGCATACTATTCGAATAACATCAATCATCATATGCGAAAACCCTAGAGACAACCGCGTCCGAAATTATTAATCATGCACAGTGAAAAGATTTCACGATTTCCCTTCTCCTTTCACGTCGAAGGAGTAAAACGCAACGCGGAAAATTGATCAAATCATCGAATATGAGCATACGACAACTCCAGCATAATCAAGACTCGTGTTTAATTCAAGCGAGATATCGATTAAATCCGAAGCGGTCGAGCTTACTTGGACGAATTTGGCAACGAAGGAACGAGATTACGGGCGAACGGAGGAAAATGAGGTCTGAATCAAGACCCTAGGGATTAGAGTTCTAGCTCTAAAAGCCATCCCCCTCGTCGGCACGGGAATCGCACGTGACACACAACCTACTACAGTGTTTTTCCTGAATGATCCGGGTCGGGCTGGACCGCGTCGGGTAGAGTACAAACCAATAAGCCAAAAGTGAACTACTAGTCTACTAATACCCAAGTTGTAGTTGTTTTCCTATATCTTCCCCTTTTTACCAAAAATTAAGAAGAAAAAAAATTAAGGAGTATGAACCTTATGAGAACAATCTGCATGCAAGTGGACGGTTCTTAACCATACCTAGAGAGGCTTAATTACAATTCTACCCCTCTATTTTTCCACTCCATGGTTAAGAATCATCGCTCATTCACATGCAGACGGTTATGATATGACTCTAATACTCATATTAATTAACCAGTATAAAATCTCAAAAACATGGAATCTAAATATTGCAAATCTTAATTTTCTAGTTAAGTTTAAATTAATATCAAAAGAATTGGATGTGTAACACTCTTATACTCTCAAAAAAAAAACAAAAAAAAAAAACAAATCCTCTAACTCTAGGGATGGCATTCAAATCCAAATTTTACAAGATAGGAGAAAATTTCCAGTATAGACTCACTATCACATTTTATCACAAAAATTGACCCCGTCTCTTTTTTATTATCAAAATTAACCCGGTTTCTGTCACGTCAGCTTCGGGGCCAGAAACTGGGTCGATTTCTAAAAAAATATTGCTTAATTAGTCGGGGTCAACAACCCTTACTAATTAATATGTGCTCGAGACCCCGATTCAAGTCTCTGAAAAAAATTCGTGGGGTTACCAAACCCAACCAAAATTGTCGGGTTTGGCAACCTCGACAATTTTTTGCGTGCCGATTTGGTCGTGGCCAATTTTGAGCTCCAAATTCGCGGTCCCCAACTAGGAGAGGCTGACAACCCTGACTATTTGCGGAGACTTTTGAAATTTGTAATGATCGTAAATTTTCAATACTAGTTTAAATAATTTTTCTGGTATTTAAATATTAAATATTATTTTTTAAAAAGAGTATTTATATTTTTTTTGATTTTCTAGAATTTTCTATGATTTAAAATACGATTTTATATTTATTTTAATGGTTTTACTAATTATAACTTTAATTGTTACGGTAAAACTTTTAATTAATATTTAGTTATTTATTATTGTTATTATTATTATTATTGTTATTAATTATCTGTATTATTTTTAGCCTCAACCCTTATCCTCAATCTCTATTTATAGCTATCAGCTAATCAGCACGACGGTCAATCTGTTATCTGACTTTTCCCATGGTTCCCTCATATCAGCCACTCTCTCTCTAATCAATATCTCTCTCTCATTCTCTCTCTCTCCCTTACCTCACGACAACTCACCCTCTCTCCCCTACCCCACTCCTCTGTGTTTTCCTCCCCAAATCCCTCCTCGTGTTCACCCCCTTCACGCACTCCTACACTCTCTCTCATTCACACGTTTCTCTCTCTCCCTCTCTTCATCGTTCTCCTACCCTCTACTCCAACCCAATCCTCCAGCTCGCGGACCGCCCGCCGCCTCAGCGACGTCTGACCCCACTCCGTAGTCGCCCACCCCACGCCCCGTTCCCCTACCTCCATCTCCGATGCCATCATCCCTACCAAGCACCGCCCCACCCAACTCCGGTGCCGAAACCCCCTCCACGAGCTCCACCTCAACCGCCTCTCCCTCCCTTCATTACCGTCAAGCTCGACCAGCAGACCCACACCGTCGGAACTCGTCTCCCCACCTCCATCTCCCCTCCGGCCACCTGACCAGCCACCACACCCAAAGCCCACAACCCCCTGAGCTACGCTCCTTGTTGGATTTAAATCTAATTAAATCTAATTGTGGGCACATATAATTAATCAATGTGTATTGCTATCTTTAAGGATAACCCACTTAAAGTGATCAATTAATTTGGGTTAATGGGTATTTAAATAAATCATGGGGTTATATGTGCAGATATCAGGTTGTAATTGTAATTTGATGAGGGGGCCAAATTACAAATGTACAACACCTATATATATGGGGTTATGGTCTCTAATCTAGGGTTAGCCACTCTCATTCTCTTATCCCCATCTAAAGAGATCCTTAAGGAGAGAAACCCTAAGATTAGAAGATCATCAAAACCCTAATCAGGTTTTCCTCAATGGATTCAGGTATATGCTTCCGCGCCTTTTAATTCTTGTTAATCTCTTTGAATTAATCATGGCTTTATGACTTAGATCTCAAATTATTAGATCTAACAAGTGGTATCAGAGCCTTCGTTGATTTGTTCTAAGAGATTAAGATTAAAATTAGGGTTCTTTGATCTTAATTTGTGTTTTATTCAGATCTGTTCACGGATGAACAATAATGTTTTTTTTTTATTTATTCAGATGAACAGTAACGTTTTTTATTTGTTACTGTCGGATGAACAGTAAAAATCATCATGAACAGTAAAGTTTTTTACTTTTGTTGGTTTTTTCCTTCGATTTTTTTTGGGATCTGGATCAAGAAGTTATATTTTGATTCTGGATCTGGTTTTGAAATAAAATCAAGGAATTTTTGGATTTATTTTGTTTGGTCGTCGGTCCAGTGCTCCTCGCCGGCGAAGTATCGCTGGCGGCCTCGCTTTCGACCCTGACGACGACGGCGACGTCAGGAAACCCTAGGGTTTCGACCTTGGGTGCAGGAGCAATGGCGGCGGCGGTTTCAGAATGAAACCTTAAGGGTTCGTGCGTGAAAACGTACGGGAATTAAGGAGGTGGTTACCTCAATTTTTTGGCGAAGCTTGGAAGCTTCAAACGAACTTCGCGTTCGTTCTAAGGTGATCCTCGCGCTTAATTCATACGAACTTCACGTTCGTTCTAAGGTGAGCCTCGCGATCAATTCAAACGAACTTCGCGTTCGTTCTCAGGTGAGCCTCGCGTTCAATTCAAGTCGAACCTCGCGTTCGTTCTAAGGTAAGCATCGCGCTCAATTCAAACGAACTTCGCGTTCGTTCTCAGGTGAGCCTCACGCTCAATTCAAAATGAACTTCGCGTTCGTTCTCAGGTGAGCCTCGCGCTCAATTCAAGTCGAACCTCGCGTTAGTTCTCAGGTGAGCCTCGTGCTCAATTCAATTCGAACCTCGCGTTCATTCTCAGGTCGAACTTCGCGTTCATTTTCAAAATGAATCTTGCGTTCGTTCTCAAGTTGAACATCATGTTCATTTTTCAAACGAACCTCGCGTTCGTTCTTAGGTGAGTCTTGTACTCAATACAAACGAACATCGCGTTCGAAGTCAAGAGAACTTCGTGTTCACTATGGTTAAGCCTCGGCTTTTCAAATTAAATTATGGGTTCACTTTAGTATACTTAATTGATTCAATTAAGTTATGGGCCCTAATTAAGCTATGGAAAATTCTTCTAATTCAAATTAAGTTGTTTAATTTGAATTAATTTTGGTAGTTAATCAATTATTTAACTTAAATATTATGACACTAAGGTATTAAGGTTGTCTCTCACTCTAATTGATTAATTGAAACAAGAAGTTGCTAAAGTAACCTCTCTTGTGTAGATTGTTCATGAAAAATATGAGATGTTTGTGTGTATGCTTTCGTGTAAATATTTAATCGGCCCAAAGGAAGGTTAATATTTATTTAGACTGCATACACATCTGCGATGATAAACGTGTGATAATTATAAGGTTTACATGTGAATAATGAATCGATCCAAAGATAGTTTCATTATTTGACATGAGTTATTGTCAATGTTTGATCATTGCAACAATGTATCAATTACAAGTTAATATTACTGTCCAAAGACTTGATAATAATGTTGTGCCAGATATCTTGAGATGGAATTTGTCATTATTTGAATTTTATTGATTACTAATTACGGTTAATGATGTGAGTATCTTTTGTTTATTTTAGCTAATGCATCTGCTGCAACAATTTCTGCTAACATCAACTCAATTCCCATGCTCAATGGGACAAATTTTAAGGTTTGGAAAAAGAACATATTATTTGTTCTTGGCTGCATGGATCTAGACCTTGCATTAAGAACTCAACAACCTCAACCTCTCAATGCGGATAGCACTCCTGATGAAAAGAAGGAGTATGAGAAGTGGGACCGTTCAAATCGCATGAGTCTTATGATCATTAAGCGCGGCGTTCCGAAAGCCTTCAGGGGCATAGAATCCGAAGGGATTACTAAGACTAAAGATTTCCTTGCCGAAATTGAGAAACGTTTTGCGAAAAACGATAAGGTAGAAACAAGCACAATTTTAGCTCGCTTGATTTCAATGAAGTATAAAGGCAAAGAAAATATCAGGGAGTACATTATGGAAATGTCTCATATTGCTTCAAAGCTTAAGGTACTTAAACTCGATCTTTGTGATGAGTTATTGGTGCATCTGGTTCTGTTATCTCTTCCTGCACAATTCAATCAGTTTAAGGTCAATTATAACTGCCAAAAGGAGAAATGGACTCTAAATGAGCTCATTTCATACTGTGTGCAAGAAGAAGACGGATTGAAATAAGATAAGACTGAAAGTGCTCATTTGACCTATGCCTCTAAGGATAAGGGCAAGAAAAGAAAGAATGATAATGAAGCTGTGCGCTAAGGGTCCAGTTCAGAAGAAACAACATAAGGATAATCAGGGTTGTTTTTTCTGTAACAAGCCCGGACACGTAAAGAATGATTGTACCAAATATCACGCCTAGCGTGCTAATAAGGGTGCGTTCCTTACTTTGGTCTGTTCTGAGATTAATTTAGCTTCAGTACCTAGAAACACTTGGTGGTTAGACTCTGGTGCTACTACTCACATAAGTGTTTCTATGCAGGGTTGCCTGAGCTACCGAAAGCCAAGTGATGTTGAAAGACACATCTTT